TCATTCTGCATTTCTTCAACACCAATAGATCAAAATCAAGTACATTGTATTGTGTTCAATATATCATCTTTGATTTGTTTCGAACCTAGATCCGCCATCTGTGATGTCTATGACTATCCTTCAAATCTACAGACCCGAAAGGTTGTAAACCCAATCTGTCTCCCTGAAACTGACATGAAATATTGGCGTTGTAGCAGGTGGTCTTTTTATAGCCAGTAGCCTGGCAACTTGTCATCATTGCTACTGTCTTCAAAAACGTCTGTCTTATTTTAATATGACAAGGATTCTGAAATTTCATTTTTTAACCGGGCTTTGCTGAACATGCTGAAAGTAAAGTCCTGGCTGTAGGCATCATGATCGACCGTCTTACTATAAATAGCTCTGTAAACAAAAAACCAAACGGCGTCAAAGCAGACGCCTCCAATAAACAAAATAGTCCAATTGCGAGACGATATTCAAACAAAATATTTTAAAATATTAATCGTTGGAAAATGTAATGATCAATATTTTTGCTTGAGAATTAAACTGAAAGAGAAATTACATATTTGCTTTATTGGGATAATCGTGATATAACAATTTGTGCACATACGCTGCTGAATGCATATTGTAAGCGAACTGTTTTCAATAGCGCGGGCTTTTCGAAATGTTGAAATTGTTGAAGAGTTTCATGTTTCATATCGTTTTTGTCGATGTTATGCTAGCGGTTATATTCTGTTTTGATTTTTAGCAAAATCATAGTACTAATTTCGGATCAGACAATATACTCGAGCAATTAAAGCCCGGCTTTCAGGTCTTTCAATACTTTGATTACTTCTATTCAGTACAAACGTGACAGTTTAAGACAAGCAAAACGTAGCTTACTTACAATCAGGCACCATATGAGCGCCCCTCTTTTACAATATTAAATAAAAGACCAAAAAAAACCCCTGGTTAAGGTACATTGATACTCTGATAAGAGAGATAACTCTCAATGACAAAAATTTCTATTATTCCTAAATATAAATTTGTCAAGTTGAAATGCCTTTTTGTCAAATTTTGCCCCGCAAGCCATGCTGTAATTGTTTGTATTTTATTTAGCATATGCAATTCCTTTGGAAAATCATAAAAGGTAAAGAAACATTTTAAATATATGAGTGAACAGAGTGTTTATGAACCTTAGTGTGTTGTTCTTTGGGGATGTAAGTCTTATGTTACTTTAAGAAACAGTACCATATTTTGGGGCTCTGAGCCGGTCTATTTTTAAAAACTCCTTTTAATACTTACTCTCCTTCCACAACAATCCCACTCTTAGAGGGATAAATCCTGACACCCTACGAACATCCTTCCGTCAATTATTGACGAGATGAAAGACTTGGGATAGGTATGTTCCTCCCTCTGTTTTACCATTCCATCATTACCTGTGTGCTTCATTGATTTCCGTTTTTTTTTTTCTGGAATAGTCTAAATGTTTTTGAATATTTTACATACTAGTGCACAAGGCAAGCAGATGCATCAACACTGGTATCCCAGATATGTGGGGGAGAAAGGCCATCTGTTATTCTGTACTGCCGGGAACCGATTTAGTTAAGTTTACCTGAACAAGCACTGATTGAAGAGCATCAGTTTGAACGTTTGTTAGAACGTAATCTTAAACTAGAGGTACTGTGAGCAATGAGCTCACTAAATGATACCCCCCGCCTCCCATATGATTATAATGGCAAAGTCCATGTTTTGCGGTGGCCGGGAAACCCAAAATATTTGTCGAATCAAAAAATTAAATAGGAGGTGCACAATGGCAACATGTAATAAAGATTCTGTGAAAGTTTCATCAAATTTCATTCAGTGGTATGAGAGGAGTTGCGGATAAGAGATAGGTACCCCAAAGCGTAACAGACGGACGGACGGACAGACGGAAGGACAGACGGACGGACGGACGGACAGACGTACAGACGGACGGAATTAACGATTACTATATACCCTCCCGCTTTTCAAGCGGGGGGTATAATGAAGAAAATCAAGCAGAACTGTATCAATCATAAAAAATAATCAATGATCACTTTTAACCAATTATAGAAATACACACAAGAGCAACATAAAGAGAAAATCTATTAGCCATAAGTTTTTGGAGGGCTATAGGGGGATAGGAACCAATATAAGTTTCTAGTTTGCGTGGCAGACCGCTCATCGAGATAAATAACAGGTGCTTGTCCTGTATTGATTTAGACATTTGTTTCCCCCAAACAAGGCGTTTAATGTATATCAAATCATATTTAGGCAATAATTTGGTCCTATCAAATTATGGAATGATTTGCCTGATTATATCAGAAATGCCCCTGGAATATCTTCATTTAAAAGTCTTTTAAATTCTTATTATTGTAAAAAAGGTAAAGAAATTTATCATTTTGGAATAAGAAAGTACAATATAATACATTGTCAATTGCGAAATAATGCAAGTAATTTAAAGGCAGACTTATATAACCAATTTTTATCAGAAACACCAATGTGTGAATACTGTATTGACTCTATTGAAGATGCTCATCATTATTTTTTTGCTTGTCCAAAATATAACTCCCCAAGAAATGTACTTTTCCAAACAATTCAAAATATTATTGATTGTGATCAAACTCAAGAACTTGATTTACTTTTGTATGGTAGTCCCAATCATGGACTAAATATTAATACTCAAATATTTGAAGCAGTACATGCTTTCATCGCAGCAACCAAACGTTTTATTTGAATTGTAATGTATGTTACTCATGCAAACACTTTATAACCGGTACATGTATTTCATTGTAAATTTTTTTTTCTCTCTTTCTACTTTTTTTTTCTCTTTTGTTTTTGTTCTTTTGTTTTTGTTACTATGTTTGTCTATTTATTTTTATATCTATATATTGTGTGTTCATTTTGACCTTGTAGGGAGAGGGCTAAAATAGGCTTTGCCTGCTGCCCAATCCCATTCACTTATGTGAATAAAATTTTGTATAAATAAAAAAAAAATAATTTGGTCCTCACTAACATTATTTCAGAATAATTTAATTCTGGTTGTAACGATGTATTTGATTGGATAAAAAATTATTTTATATCGTATAAAATGGGTTGCCTACGTCACAATGACTTACGTCAAAAAACGTATCAATCCGCATGACGTTACATTCAAATTTTGTACAAATTGAAGTCATTTTGTTAGAACAATCATCTTTTTTTCTTACATCAAATGAGTGAAAATTAAATTATAAGCAATGAATTTAATAGCTACCCATTTTATACGGTATAAACTGGGTTGGAACAGTTTACGCTTTTTCATAAACCGCTTCGCGGTTTATAAAGCGTAAACTGCCCCAACCCAGTTTATACCGTATAAAATGGGTAGCTATTAAATTCATTCCTTAAATAATAAAAATAATTTATCATAAAAAATTAACTATAATTAAATTTTCAATGTTCACCAATAAATACTTACTTATTTAAGGAATAACTGTCTTATTTTTTGAATTCATGAAGTGATCAATGGATTGGCTTGTGTGATAATTTGCATAAACGCCGAAGGCGTTTATGCATAAAATTATCACACAAGCCAATCCATTGATCATCTTCATGAATTCGAAAAATAAGACAATTATTCCTTATATTTACATGCTTTGATTCCGCCAATCCACGGGCTCCAAGCCTGCTTCTCTCTAGGTGTTGTCCCGCCCTGCACGTGGATTTTTTTGGAACCGCGCCAAAACATTCATGAGGAAATCAATTACATTTACAATTGGTAATTTTATCTCGGACAAAGACATTGGAAATGTAAATATTTCAAATTAAAGTTATGCTTTCTTTAAAACAAAGGAATCTTATTCGAAAGAAAACGTGTTAACAGAAATATTTTCTTTTCTGGTAACGTTTTCGTATTTGTTTTGTTTCAGCTAACCAAAAGAAGGTTTAAATGAAGAAGTTTGCTTTTAAGCCAAAGTATATGTTTTTTTTATTCAAAGTATCATTTGCAAACGATTTTAGAAGATATGTGCAATATATTTGTACATTATACATCAGTAAAACAACCAAATCCCAATGGCAACAACGACAAATTCGAAGATATAAACCATTCAACTTTCGTTTCTTCAAATTTTATAAAACAAAGAACAATGCGCCATAGCAATAAACTGAAAATGAGAAACAGACAAATTAAAGAAGAGGTTGAATTTAAATATTTTAAGTCAAGCATCGTGTGCACAACACTTAGTAATAGTAATTTAAAAATTTAATTTTAACGAAACTAGTTTTCTCTGTTGATGAACCATTCAAGTTTGGCGTGAATCTTGAGATAGCGAAAATTGGAATACTGCTCAATTTGGCTTACAATATATATTTTAAAAGTTATGCAAAACAACATAGTTATAGTATTGCTTAATTGTTTATAATCAAACTAGAGGTACTGTGAGCGATGAGCTCACTAAATGATACCCCCCGCCTCCCATATGGTTATAACTGGTGAAAAAGTCCATGTTTTCCTGTGGCTGGAAAACCCAAAATATGTGTCGGATCAAAAAGTAAAATAGGAGGTGCACAATGGCAATATGTAATAAAGATTCATCAAATTTCATTCAGTGGTATGAGAGGAGTTGCGGATAAGAGATGGGTACCCCAAAGCGTAACAGACGGACGGACGGACAGACGGATGGACGGACAGACAGACGGACGGACGGACAGACGTACAGACGGACGGAATTAACGATTACTATATACCCTCCAGCTTTTCAAGCGGGGGGTATAATAATTTGATACTATAGGTATCAAGAAAATCTGTTTGAAAACACCATTTCTTCATTATTTCTTATCGGCATAGATGGATCTCCCAATAAAAGAAAAGTAAAGAATTAATTAGGGATTGTTAATTAACAACCGACAAATGATGTTTGATCACACCTGGAACTTCCGCAGTGATGTCTTAAAGTGTCCGTAAATCACGGAATCGACGGGGCGTGACGTATTGCGCCTGCGTGTTTGCGTCTCCTGACCTGAAATAGGGAGTCACCTGAAGTCGGCTAAAACACGCCTCACCGATCTCCAAGTAATGTCCATCCGCGCCTTCACGCTCTTCTGATCACACTCTCAGTTAAGAGAACCAGAAGAAAATACGACAGTCCATTTTTCATTCATAATTCTTATGAAACACAGGTGCTATAGCTGCGTGAGTAGGTTCCTCTGATTTCTGATTTAACATCCTCATCCGTAGTTAGCAATAGGATATTCAACTCCTTCAAGAACGATGGTAGGGGAAACTTTTATTTATTTATTCATTTGTTTTTATTTTTTATTTTAAAGTTATTGGTTTATGATTAAACATTCATGAAAGGATGTGATGACATAAAAAAAAAATTAATTTGTCTTTCTTGGTTTAATTTCATTTTGAATTTCAATCTGAAAGATGAATTTCTGAACTAAGTTGTTAGTATTCTGAAATAGTAATAAGTATATATAATCTTTGTATTAGAGGGTTTCAGCTACTGCCAGTCTGGAAATTATAAGGATTCCTCGCTTCCTCTTGTATCTTCTATTTCTCTCTTATCTTCTCCTGTCTTGCTAGGAAGCTCTGAACATTTTTAAACAAGACACTCACCTAGTTTTAAGCAAATTTCTTCATCTTTCAGGAATTATTTGAATGTACTTTTATTTCTTGTTAAGCGATTGACATAGAAAGAAAAGTCAGTGTTATGTAAATATCGAATTTCTGCACATTCTTTGAATATTGAAAATGGAAGGTTAAAAACCTACCCCGAAATGAACGCAAATGTTTTTCCTGTAAAATGAAAGAAGAAGATGAATTTCACTTTGTTTTGATATGCCCGACATTTTCTGATTTACGTAAAAATATGTAAAAGCTTTATTATTATTATAAAAAGCCTTCCTTTTTCAAACTCATTAAGCTTTTTAGTGCATATAATTTTAAAACTATTCAGAAACTTTGTCAAATTGAAAGCTACAAAACAAAAGGAAAAACTAATTTGTAAAATATCATTAATGAAGTTTCAAATTTTCTATAGTTTGATTCTTTCTGTGTCACAAACTCTTTATATCCATATATACTCAGTATATATTGTATTTCTTTTTTAATCATCTGCCATTGTGTTTATTTTGTGTACCTATGAGCCACAATGCTCCTTTGGTCAATAATAAACAAAAAGGTGTGTTTCATCTGAAAAATTCAATTAAAAGGGACCTATTATGATGTTAATAAATCAATATTTTGAAATCCGATCCTGATTTTAATTCTGATATGACACAAGAATAACTTATTATAATGCTCATAAAACAAAATTAATTAGATAAAGACAAGTAAACAATGTCACATGCACAAAAAAAAAAATAAATATTGCTATGGCCCACCACGTGTTAGGTCTGCAAATATTTTATTCTTTAAAAAAGGGATTTGAATGACCTTCTTGATGACTGACCATAAATTTACGGAGGAGATGCTTCTAAATATAGAAAAGTATCAATTATTCACCTAGACACTTGGATGTGGACCAACATCTTCGTTGTCCAGCAAGTGACATCTCTATGTAAATCTGCCAAACCGGTGTAAGGGGTCGGCTTAAAAGTTCAACACCCATCCTCTAAAAATACTTGAATGTTTAAAAATAATGAAATAAATATGAAGCTAGACTAAAAAAAAATTCGAATCTGCAGTTAATATGTTATTTATATATGAGGATCTAAATTAAAACTACAAGGTGTATTTAAAAGAATATTTTGTCTTTAAAAATGTACATGTATATACAATGTTCATTCAGAGTTTGAACGACGTCTATTTTTATTACTGAAAAATTAAAAAAAAAATGGCATTAAAAATTAAGTATAGTAAAAGACTTGATGGATGAAAGCTTTTTGAGTGACCTAAGAATTGCATTTTCGATCAATTAAGAAAAAGACGCTTAAATACTTTATATGTACACATTTATTGTAACTGTTTTCTCTTAATGCATTTTTAAAATTTTTAATCAGTTTTCTAAAAACAAAAAAGTATGAATAATGTACAGAGTCAAGGAAAAATAATGCAGATTTTCATTTATTTTGTTAATTTGAAATTATAATTCTGTGATAAAGTTTGTAGAACACGCTTAGTTTCGTCTGATCAAATGACAAAAGCATCAGTCAATTTAAAATTTTATTAATTGTGATGCATTACTTTGACGTATTCGTAATTTAAATAAAATTTAGGCATAGCAATCTCAATTTCTTGATTTAAACTTTAAACTTGAGTGATGAATTTCTGTAATTTGTCAGCAAGGACAAGTAAACATCGTCCGATTTTGATTATGGTTTCCCATACTTAAGCGAAAAATTTGCTTGCAAGATTTTTTCTTTTCTTTTTTACCGTTTGCTGAAATTATGCGACATTACAGTATATCACACCACCAATTTTTTTTTTATCGTACACTGTGTTTGCGAGCGGTTGGAATAATTTTATATTTTTCCTAAATTGCATTTTATAGTTGGAGAATAACTAGTATGAAAAAAAAAATGAGTCTTCATTTACACATTTATCGTGACAAATTGCTGAAACTGAACTTTTCTTGATGAGGTTTAACCCATGACACTAACGACTGATTCGTAAGAATGGAGAGTTTTTAAAATACTCTAAGAGAAAACCTACACTACAGTGAGTTTACATGTACATTAGATTACACGGACAATGATTTCTTCTTTTTAAATCTACGTCTCGTTCATTGTAAAGGTAACATCGATTTACAGGTATCCTGTCATTATAATCTGACAATTTTAACACATAAAATGTTTGAAAAGATGTTTAAAATCATCGCACCACAGAAATATTTTTTTCTTCTCTATAATAAAATAGATACCATATCTAAACGTGTAATGTTTACAAGGCCAGTTAATGGCGTTACGCAAGGTTCTGTCTTCTATGCACAGAAATAGTTTTTTCTTCTCTATAATAAAATAGATACCATATCTAAACGTGTAATGTTTACAAGGCCAGTTAATGGCGTTACGCAAGGTTCTGTCTTCTATGCACTGTTCTTCACATAAAACGAATACCAATTAAGAGGATTGACAAGAAAGTTACAAGAAGATTATTGACTGTCACAATAAACATATCGTTGACAGATAAGAACGAAAACACAAAGTGACCAATAGAAATGCGTAGTTTTGCAGTACTGGACCAATCAATACATGGTCTGGGAACGCTATTAGGTGCACAGGAGATTACTTCCGCCTAATTAATGCACAGGTACTTAAATGGCGGGGGAGGATACATTTAATTGTTCATTATCATGGGAACAAAGAACCAAGATTTTAAGAGAACTATATTCATGAAATACTCGTAAAAAGAAACAAATCAGAAGACAAAATGGTGTGTCAAATGTTGAAATATGTGAAAAACAAATACATTTTTTTTATTAAAAAAAATCAAATTTATTCATTAGAAAATTTTTTGAAACTGGCTTTGAGACGCTAAATCCATGTTTGAAATAATCAAAGATGTAGAGTTAAGCACTCTATAATAATGTTTTATCGTAGACATTTCATATGAATAGTTTTTACCAAAATCAATTGCATCAAAACGTACCACTTTTCAATACTTTAATTTAATGCTTTTTGATGTCGAAGACACTTTGTCATTGGTTATCTGCAAAAATATTTTGTTAAATATTTTGTTAAAATTTGACATTTTTATATAGTTTCTTGAAATCAAGTCCTCCAGCAATTCTTTGGAATTCCAATCTGTACTAATTGCGCTGTTATTTATTTTGCAGACCTTTCCTTGTACTCATATAAAGCAGAATTTCCGCCAAAAAAATTCTAAATGACAAGATATAGTTTCTTGTTGTGGTATTCAGTTTGAAATTTAGATATATCGACGGCATTTTTTTCAATTGATAATGTTTATTTTTATTCCTACGTTTATTCAATATATTCCCTTCAACTCAAGATAAAATACAGCACAGAGTGTGGTGTATCAGCTTCATACATGTATTTGGATAATTTACCAGTGAAAGAATTTTATATTGCCACCTTCCCTTATTGGTATAGTAATATACCATTATTGCTCTCATATGGAGTTTAGGTTTTCAGATAGATTTGCTATGGAAGAGCATGTTCTCATACAACTTTTAAAACGAGGCAAGCTATTGATAAACAAGTCGATGATACAAGGAGATCAGCAGTATCGTTTAAAGTCAACATGTCACAAATTCTTATGATGATACAGTGGCTTTGTTAGCAAACACTAGTTTAATTATTGTTAAACCGAATGTAATTTTCATACAAATTGTTAGGCCATTATTTTCAGAATAAACTGTCTCGATTTTTCCAAAAAAAGAGCACGCGGCGGGTATGACCGATTGTTCCAGTTGATATTTGATCTTTGTTACTGTCCGCTATTTTCATATTAATTTACGGAATTTATTTCACGTGTGAGTGGGATATCATTTTTTTTTTCTTTTTTTATTTTCAAGAGTGCTTATAAAACAAGATGTTTTCCAACTGAAATAAGATCCATATTTCTGACTACAAAACATTGAATTTTCTAAATCACTCTCTCCTTTGTTTTATTAATCTTTATAATGAAAAATGCGTTGATCTGCTTCCGACACTAAAAAAGTTAATCGCTGGACATGCTATACTGATAAATAAATAATCCCTGGACAATGTTTAATCCCACAGATGTATGTTAAGACCACATACAGCAAACTTTTATGTTTGATCATCGATAAGTCGAACTGTTTGATTAGGAAAAACCTATAAATGTGGTCAAGTTCTCGATAAAAACAACCGTTGGAACTTATCAACTGTCACAGAATTGTCTAACGTGGAACCAGTGATCTTAAGTGACTCACCATAAACTGGTCTGACCCGACCTAGCAGAACTCTCTGTCTTTATTAAATCCCATCAAATTGGTCTATTTTAGATTGAAAGTTATAACAAAAGAATAAATGTAAAGTATAAGGTTTCTCATGCAGTAAAATTTCAATTTCATAAAATATCAAGAAACTGTAGATTTTATATTTATTACTAGCATGTTAAATGTTCTCACTTTTTGCTGTTCAATGCATTTATAATTTTTCAAAATAATTTTTGGACATTAATAAGAAATCTTGAAAAATATTATTGGTAAAACATCTTTATTTTACTCATATAACCATCGTCGGAACCCACGGGTTTTCTCTCCGTTACACTGCATTAGAAAACCAGTGTGGTATCATATAATTATATTTTTGGACGAAATTTCGTTACGCGGTAAATAAAATAAAATTCTAGGTGTCAATCTCTATTTCTCTTTATTTTAATTTTGTTTTGTTTCTGAATTGAAAACTGAATCTGTCTGGCACGCCAAATTCACAAAAATGAGCTAAACATAGTTTCACAGTTGATAAACTAGGTTTATCGACTGTAAACTATAGTTTACAAACCGTGAACTATAGATAACAATTCGTTATCTATAGTTTTCATCTGTAAAACTATATTTAATGGTTGTTTACTACAGTTTACGAATGCTATTATAAGTTTATCTTACTGTAATAAAACGTTAATAAATGATTTCGTTGATAAACGTAGATTCACATCTGTAAACTATTATTTACAATCGAAAACTATAGTTAAGAGTTGTTACACTGTAATCATGGTTTCACATAATTATCGTGAAACTATATTTATCAGATCGTTAACTATAGTTAAGAGTTGTAAACCATAGTTTACAAATCCTGAAACTGTATTTATAAGATAATCGAAGTTTTGCAATCGCGAATGAAAGTTTACGGTTCTGAAACATAGAATATCGCGTTAACTATGTTTACATATGTAAAATATAGATTAACGTTGTTAACTATAGTTTACTGTCCGTAAACTATAGTTTACAACCGATAAACCTAGTTTATCGACTGCGAAACTATGTTTAACTCATTTTTGTGAATTTGGCGTGCCATAAATATGCATGTCCTTATATTTTACTTATTTAGGGGAGGGGTAAAGAAAAAATCGTTGGTTGTAAATTAAGATTTTAATAAAAATATTTACTTTATTCGATAAATGTTTTTTTTCACACTGGAATAGATATACCTCTTTCAAAACTTTCCTTTTGTGGTTAAATTCAAATAAAATGATGGAATAAATTATATCTATAACTTTTTTTTTTACTTGTAGAGTGCCTGGAAATACCTTTCAATTGTTTTCGTTTATCACGTGGTTTCTGGACACATGGGTATGTATTTTTTCATTTTTAAGATAATGCTACAAAAAACTTTCATTCTTGATGAATACATGTGCATGTATACAGAGTGGCCAAAAACGTGATATACGTTTTAATACCTTAAGGTACATTTATAAAATTTATAATGTATAACAAAATTCTTAAAAAATTTTGTCGAGCATACATTTTTCACAGTTTCCTTAATCACCTAACCTTTCTTTGGAATACCGGTAACATATGACACTTAACAACATGTTTCCATAAAGAAGAAAAAAATATTAAGAAAGAAAATCTGGTCTCACTACTACTAGTATCAGACGACTAATAAAGCGGAAAATTTGCTTCAGAGAGTATACAAATATTCTCACATAAAATTATTCTGAAAATAATAAAATTTTATCCTATAATTTAATTACTGTAATATCACATATTTTCTTGGGGTCAAATTTTCGTGGTTTGAATAAAAACTCTTGGTTCATGAGGATTTGAATTCGTGGATGAAGAATTGTTGAGTAGTTATGTACTAGTATTTACCATTTTACATTTTGTGGTGGACATGAATTCGTGGGTCTCTTCTTACCACGAAAACAACGAAAATTAAACCCCCACGAAAGTGTGTGACTTCACAGTATTACAACAATTCCACAAGGTTTTACAGAGCCTTGACTACATTATTCTTAATTCTTAGGAACCATATCAACAAACAAGTAATTAAGTGTAACATAAAAAGGTTATGTGACAGACATACAATCATTTAAATAAAACAAATTTATGTAATATGCACATTACAAGACTTTAGCTTAGTGTTAACATCAAAAGAAAATTAACATGCAAGACTTCATAAAAAATTAAAACAATTGCAGTTGTATACAGCTCTGATCTAATTAACATGACAATTAATTATAAACAATTACCAAATTGAATTTCTCATAATTCATCTTAAAGTTGATCATAATAAAGTCTAGGTCACTCTGTACTTATAATGCATTTATGATGTTTAGGAGAAAAAACAGTTTGGTTTTTAATGTTAACCCCCAAAACTATAAACTTACCCTTGCGACCAATAATCTAGTGTTTCGACACTTTTGAGGGAAGGATTGGGGAATGGGGGTGGGTTGTTAAAAGGTTTCATACAAACCCTGAAGATTATTTATGATTTGTCGGTTTAATTTTGTTGGGTATCATTGACAACAGATTGGCAATTTATATATGAAATACAGGATCGTTTCTCCGTTAACTTAAAAATTTTTTTTTGTTTGGTAAAAAAATGGATAAAGATTGCTTATAAACTTGAGCTGTTTATTAACACGCTTTTTTGCTATGATTTTCAGGTCGAGACCACTCTGGTGCCAGTCGATGGTATCAGAGAACGGTGAAAATCAAGGACCCGTTCGACAAATTTACTGAAGAATCACTGGCCCTTGGTCATCAGCTCACACTGCCAAAGCCTGGCGAGAGTGGTTTCAGTGGATCAGATGCTATATTACCGCCGACCACTGTTCCGCCCACGTTAGATCCGTTCCTGAATTATGACTATGGATTTGATTATCCATCCGTGACTCCATCAACCTCTACCACAGACAAAAGCGGAAAAACCACGGCCAAAACGTCACAAACGTCGCAGGTGGATAGTATGGTTCAAAACCTTGAATTTATTAATCCAGTCCAAGGGGACACGTTTTCGGTCACGTTCAATCCTTTACCAACACTAATATACCCTTCACAACCTGGGGATTTTTTGAATCTCGAAAGAACAAAGCTTTATCCTGAATCTTATGAAAATAAACACAACCTGGGAACCTTCAAAGATTCCAAAAGCAACACTCTGCACAACGACATTGACTTTTTTGCAAAGTTGAAAAACGAAAGGAAACGTATCCTTGCAGAAAGACTTGTACGAAACATTGAAAAACCTCTTGATTTTGGCGCAAAAAATAACTTTGTGGACCCTCTTTGGTTGTATCTTCTGGCGTCACAATAACTTTGGAATATGACGTCATAATCTACAAACTATTTATTTTCTGTGATACGTGCAATATATAATTTGTTGTACGAAGAATGATTCATTACTTATCACTTATTTACAGGTAGGGTGTTCAAATTAGGAGCTAAATATTTCACATACAGTTTAAATATTGTATAGTTAATATAGCATAATGGGAGATATAAGATGATTTGTTATATCAATGCACATATTTTATGTTTATTGTTTTTGTTGACATTTTATAGAACACGTTTTTTTCACATTTTGTTGATTAAACAGGATGTAACTTGTAAAACCCGTATTTTGGTTTTGGTTTACTTTGCACTAAAATATTAACACAGTTGCGGAAGAACTGATGAAGTTGAGCAACAGTAAATTCGAGAAGAGGTGTAAATCAGACGAAAAAACAAAGAAACTTAAAATTTGAAATCACACATTTCATCGAAGTCAATAGAATCAAAACTTTTCAACACTTTATACAACCATTCCACACGATAAACTAAAGCAAAGAACTTTTGAAACCATGGACAGCCATGATACTTTTTGTCCCCCGCTTGAAAAGTGGGGGATATTAATTTGGGTTGTACACACGAGTAGTCCGTCTTTCTGTCTGTCTGTAATTGTTTCCACAATATCTCGAGAACCCTTTGAGCTTTTGCAATGAAATTTAGCATAGCAACTCCCTATGGACTAAAGAAGACCCCTATTGATTTTGAGGTCAAAAGGTCAAAGGTCAAGGTCATAAATAAGCAAATTCTGTCTGTTAAAACACTTTCGTTTCCACACGATATCTCTAAAAAGCATTTGAGCTATCGCAATGAAATTTTACATAACAACTCCCTGTGGCCTAAAGAAGACCCCTATTGATTTTGAGGTCAAAAGGTCAAAGTTCAAGGTCGTAAATTTATACATTCTCTCTGTGTGTAACACTATCATTTCCGGGCGATATTTCAAGAAGATTTTGAGCTTATGCAATGTAATTTTATACAAAACTCCCTAGGACGTCTCTCGTCCCTCTCAATATATTACGCCCCGTTTTTTTTTTAGTATTTAAATTACATGTCATTTTTAGCGCAGGGGCATGAGGAGAGTTATTGCGTATAAAACAGGTTCTCGGCGGACTTTATGTTCTTATTACATCTATTATAACTGTTTAATAAAGGCTAAATAAATGAAACACCATGGATTGTGTAAAATTTTGACATTGAAAACATGAATATATACATGTATGTGACTTCAGTTCTGCATATACTTCATTTCGTGTAAAGCGACTCCGTGGTCTAGTGATTTTTTTTTTTTTAAATACTTTTTTTTTACTAAATGATAGTATTCAGCATGTGAAATGAAAAATTTATGAGGTTATAAAATCATCATTACAATGTGATAAATATTCCATATAAAAAGAATCTTAGATCTACACACATAATAAAGAATAAGCAATCAAATCTTTATATGCATATTGACATACATGTATTTTATTTCCTTCAGTATACATGTATACATTTAATAATTCTACAAATTCAGTCAGGGGGAGCCGACTTTTTCCCTAAGCGGGGGACACGAATTCTCTGAATTAGCTTGTTCGATAAAATTGTTAGAAACATTCTGATTGTACACAGAGGTACGCTGAAATTAATACCAAAACGATGCTTTAGTTTCTGATTGCAATATTTATGATGTTTTGGGAAACCATGTCTTCCAACAAACTGTCGGAATTTCCAATGATACCCATTTCGCCCCTTTAAAAGCAGACTTGTTCTGAATTCGTATGAAGTAGAATTTTTTCCAATGAAACGTCTAAATAACAAAGAAAACAGTAGTCTTACTCTGGTCTTCAATTCGGCATTAGGATATACCGAAGACGTTTTAGCAATGAATAATAGTTACCTCCATTTTCATGTCCCAGAATATATTATACCACTTCCTTTTTAATAAAACACTGTTAAATGAATATTGAATTACAACAAATTCCATAAAGTTATTTAAAATTCCTTATGACAGTAGCACATATCTCATTAGTTTTCCCTTGATTTCCCTTCAAAATAGAAAAAAGAAATTGGTCAATGCATGTGTTTCTGGCGATTATTATACCCCCCGCTTGAAAGTGGGAGGGTGTATTTTGTAATCTATTTCCGTCCAATGACCTCCGTCCGTCTGTTACGCTTTGGGGTACCCATCTCTTATCCGCAACTCCTCTCATACCACTGAAGGAAATTTAATGAAACTTTCACAGAATCTTCATTACATATTGCCATTGTGCACCTCCTATATTACTTTTTGATCTGACATATATTTTGGATTTTCCAGAGCAAAACATAAACAGTGCCATTATATTCATATGGGAGGCGGGGGTATCATTAAGTGAGCTCATTGCTCACAGTACCTCTAGTTTCAATCTGTAGCCAATATTTTAGGAAAACATGTATTGTTAATAGCTGCTTTTTCGATAAAAATTTACTTACCTTGTCATTGGTCATTTGCAAAGTGATTTTGTTAAACAACATTCTGAAGCATCAAAAAGATGCTTGACTTTCTGATTGATTGACAGTGTCTATGTGGTTTTTGGAAACAAGGTTTTTCAACAATCTGTTGGATTTTCCATGGGTACCAATTGCGCCCGTTATTTGCAGACCTATTTTTGTATTCATATGAAGCAGAATTTGTCCAAAATCTTATGGGTGAAAAGAAGAAACACTTACTGTGGCCTTCAACTCCACTGTAAAAAAATTAGTTAAAGTCACGAAGAAAACTAGTAAATTTACTGTCCATACAATCACTACCTTAAAAGTAGTTTTACCAGATATTGGTATATTTACTAGATAAGATTAGTAAATTAGTAGAATTGATGAGTAACTTTCACTAGGTATCTAAGTATCTATACGACCCCCGCTCCACAACTCACTATCTTAACCAGTAAACTGAAAGTTTACTAATCATTACCAACGCTTAACGAGGCACACTAGTTAAATTCACTGGGTTTTCCTTTCAGTGTCGACATTAAGATATATCGACGGCGTATTGTCAATTAACAATGGTTATTTCCATTAATATGTCGATACGATATATCCCGGTGAACTTGAGATAAAAAAGATGTCACAGAATCTGACACATCTGTTTCATATTTGGATATTTTACTTGAAAAAGACGTCATTGGTTATCTCATAACCATGCTTTATGATAAACGAGTGTAAACTTTTCAATCTTCATCTTTTCCCTACTTATGCAGCAATATACCTTCATCACCTGCATACAGGGTTTATCTCTCTCAGTTGATTCGATATGCAAGAGCATGCTCTACGTAAATTATTGACAAACAAATTGATGAAACAAAAATATCAGCAGTCTCGCCGCCGAGGGAAATAGTTTCCTGCTGAGGGGAACCATAAATTTGCTATTTCCCTCGTACCCATTCCATAACTGTATACCGTAGTATGGCTTCAAATTCCTATCGTCAACTTCCCTTATGCAGACGATATATATACTGTACTGTATCTTTATCGTCTACATGTAAGATTTTTTATTTCTCAAATTTGATTCGATATGTAAGAGCATGTTCTACGTGAGATCAATTTTCGAAACGAGGCAAGAGATTGGCAAACAAGTTGATAAGACAAGAATATCAAATTTCTCGTTTGAAGTCCTCATTTTGTTAATTTTATGGGCGAAACAATGACCCTATCAGCAAGTTAAATCTATCTTTCGGTCAAATGCTGAATTGCGTTTTTATACTTACATGTACGTACAATGTATATGCACGCCAAATTCACAAAAATGAGCTAAACATAGTTTCACAGTCGATAAACTGGGTTTATCGGTTGTAACCTATAGTTTATGGACTGTAAACTATATAGTTAACAACGTTAAACTATATTTTACATATGTAAACCATAGTTAAAGCGATAATCTATGTTTCAGAATCGTTAACTATACTTAACATTGAAAACAATCATTTGTGATTGCAAAACATAAATTATCTGACAAATACACTTTCACGATTTGTAAACTATGGTTTACATCTCTTTGCTATAGTTAACGATCTGATAAATATAGTTTCACGATTTGTGAAACTATGATTAACAACTCTAAACTATAGTTCACGATTGTAAATTATAGTTTACAGACGTGAATCTATGTTTATCAACAAAATCTATTGTTAATTTTTATTACAGACAGATGAACTTAGATTAGCATTTGTAAACTACAATGTATACAGATTTACTTTGTAAACTTTACAGATGAAAACTATAGTTAACAAATTGTTAACTACAGTTCACGGTTTGTAAACTATAGTTTACAGTGATAAACCTAGTTTATCAACTGTGAAACAATGATTAGCTCATTTTTGTGAATTTGGCGTGCCATATACATGTATTGCTGGGCTATTATTCACACAATGAAATTTCTGAAGTTCTTTCGTTTACCTGATCATGAGAAGGATCATATAAGGTGGGTATGTCTGGTGGAAAGTGTAGACTTACTTCTTCATGACATCTGATCCAACCTCTAACGTTTTTGAAGGTCCCTGTTTGCTCTACTGCCGTTTTGTATTGAATAAATGATCTTCGAGTTCAAATATTGTTCGTTACCTCAATAGTTTATTCTCTCTGTGAACAACAGAAAAGGACTAGAATCTATTTTGAGATTCAAACCGCTGCCAATTGTTCGTACATGTAGAACTATTTCGTATTTTTATGCAGCAGAATTTATTAAAAAAAAAAACAAAACATGAACACTAGAAGAAAACAAAATAAGTGAGCTTCATTTCATCATTTAGATCATGATGTATATACCATTCATATATCTACTTGATAATTCACAGGTAACTAGAATAAATTATACCATATGTTCTGCCAGTATCTGTATCTGCCACATCTATTTTATCTATTTTGCCTGAAAAAGAAAATGGTAACATAGGAACAAAACTTTATGATATACCTGATGCCTTCAACATTTCTAGTGTCAGCTTTCCCTACTTATAATCTAGCAAACAGCAATATACCCATATCGTCTGATTATATAGATAAGAGCATGTTCTTTGTACGAAAAATTTCTAAAAGCTTTTGACCAAAAAGTTGATGAAACAAGAATATCTTGTTTAAAGTCATTATTTCTCATTCTATGGTCAATACAATAACGTTGGTAGCAAATGAAATCTATCAATAAGTCGAATGCTGACCGACTTTTTTCATATTAATTGTTAGGCCATTATTTTCACACTAAATTGTCTACAGATTTTTTCTTTTAATATGACCAGGACCTAACAGTGGCTGTGACCGGTCGACGGGGGATGCTAACTCATTTATGGCATTTGATCCCACCTTGATGTTTTGTGAGATCCGTGTTTGCTCTGCTCCCATTTTGTATCGGTTCAATTTTATTCATTTATTTATTTTTTTTATCTTGAAAACAACTGGTTCTATGAATAGATTTCCTTGATCTCAACAACAACAAAATATGATATATTTGTGTTATTTTTCTTGTTAAATGATATACTCTGTGTATCATTTCGAAAATTTCCATTATGGTATAGATTTTAATATTATACTCTGTATCACAAAAAGAAAAGAAATTCTAGAGTGAAATTTGAAGGTAATTCAAAGTTTTAAAGTGTGTACTCTTGTAAATTTTAGTTAACTGTATTTTTTTTTCTTAGGGGAATCAACCAACCAGGAGAAGCCTGAGCAATTCCGATACTTATCAGAAAATCTCTACAACGTACACAGCTCGGCGGATTAATAATTACGACCAAGTTTTGTTTTTTGACATTTTCATTGCATGATCGTCTGTCTGTAGTCCTGTAATCCTATTTAATTTGATTTCTAATTCCAGGTGTGACTAGGTCCGAGTCCGCGTTATAAAGGAGAAAAGTCCGCGCCGACACAATGGTGGGTTTAGTCCGCCATTGTTTCCAGGGACGCTACAAAATGACCGCTTAAGATTACAAGATTTTAAATACCCAAAACACAATCCTACAACAAATAAAATCACTAAATATATCTACATATTTACATTAATGCTTTTTCGGTAGCGACTATTCGAAGCAGTTCATGCGTTGTTTCGTTCACCCTTTGTATCCTGTATACGGGTGCAATTCTGTGATTCGCTCTTCTCTCCACGGCTTTAAAACACAACTTGTAGACTTTAAAGACACATTATTTCAGTATCAAAAGGCTAGCCTGTGTGATAAGATATCTCTAGATCGATCTTCAACAGAAATCCTCGGGACAACACCACCAGAATATTTTGATAACTGGAATTTGACAACTTGAAACACGAGTCGGCCATTGTTATTCGGATAAAACTAAAGTATGATAAACCGGATATATATTCTTTGTGTTGTTAGGTAACAATAAGAGGGAAAAACTGCAAACAGAAATGACTAAATATAGAAAAGTCAGCTTTCTAAATACCTATCACGGTAAGTCATTTAAATAGGTCTCATTTCTATCGATCTGTTGTAACAAGTTTTAAACTCTATGTGTATAAATTACCTGGGTATTTCGGATCAAATTTCATTTGATCGCATAGTATCATTTATGTTTAGGTGTGTGTTGTATCATTAACAATCTAGCTTGACAAAATTGCCAAAGAGGTTAAACAAGAAGAAAGAAATCAGAAATACTGACTAAATAAAACAGTTTGAATCAAAACATTTGAATATTTCGACATTAATAATGAACAGAATGTCAGAGCATGTATATTTGAAGTTGAGATGTACTTCATTTATATTAACCATGATGCTTTGATTATACATATGACCAAAAAGACAGTATCTGTTTAGTATTGCATGCTTAGGGAATTACACTTTTAACTCGGTAAATGTATGTATTGACATACAGGATATTTTCATTCCCATGCCGACTGTTTTTTACAAAGAAAATATGTGAAGTAAATAATCCCAGATAATACGTTTTTTTTAATTAGTCTGGAATCGGGTCAGGTGCATCAATCAGGAACAGAAAAGTGTATCTGTGGGTGATAGAGAGGGGGGACAAAGGCTTTCTTCTTACGCTGATTGATGATTGTCGCCCTAACGGATAGGGGTCACACAATTTATCTCTACAAAAAATAAACAACGTACTTTTATTTCTACAAAGCAGCATGTTTGCTTGAATAATGTGTATTATGTCGGATTTGATGCATTTGAAAAACGACTTGAATGAAGGAGTTTGTTGTGCATAGAAAACTCCGTTTTTGAATGAACAGAATATATCCTTTATGTATTTTGGATCCCCTATACATGTACATTATTTAAAAAGAACGCACACATGTTTTAGTTTGAATATTCAGAGTTTTAAATCAATGACAAGGATTTCTAATCCAGTATATTAACCTATTAAGCCTATCAAATGCTTTACACCAAAATGTTATTTACAAAACAGGTTCGGAATATTCAACTTATCAAACTGGGAAAATTAATGATCGTTGAATTGTGTCAAATTGCGCGCGTTCCTTGACTGACTTAAATGTTGGAATTCTGTATCGCAGATGTGGACATGTTTTTGAAGAAATTTCTTTTGCTTAAAGTAAAGAATATCAACAGTCTCGTTTATAAAGTCTTCATGTCATTTAAGTTGTTTGGTCGATACAATCAGGGACGTAGTATCCGGGGGGGCCGGGGGGGGGGGCCTGGCCCCCCCACTTTTTTCCCCAACATAACCTTTACTATTGTAAATGTTCATTGATAAGAACTTTATAACCATAGTATAGTGATAGCAATGATTGTGAGGAAAAAATTGGAAGTGATAGTAAGTTGGCTTTGAAAAAGTTGGCCATTCCCCCACGAAATAGGATTTTCGAGTTTGGGCAACTTTTAATTTTTTTTTTTTTTTGCTTGTCAACTTTTTCAGGTGAGTAAAAAAAAAATTTTCTCAGGTTGGCCCCCCCACTTTCAAAAACGTTGCTACGTGCCTGACAATGACCTTGTCAGCATATACTAATCTATCATTAATTGTTGGACCATTATTTGGTATTTACACACTATATTGTCGAAGGATTTTCCTGTTATTTCCCGATTATGACAAGGAGCACACGGCGGGTGTGATGGTCGGCAGGGATGCTGACTCCTCCATGGCCTCTGATGTTAGAGGTCCGTGTTTGATATGCTTCTCAGCTGTATTGTTTAATGGACTTTTGAGCTTGAATACTGTTCGTTTTCTCCCTATATTTCATTCAAAGAAAAGAGCCCACGTGAAATTGATGTTATAGATTATGTCTGACGATATTAAGTCCCCACTGGCCATGGTCAATTTTTTAATTGAAGAAATGAATACTGTAACTTTTCACTCTCTTTTTTTATAACCTAGCTGCTTTAACAACGGGTTGCAGTGTGCAGTTGAAGATAATGTAAATTTAATCGACGTTTGTTATTTGGCCTGCAAAGAGGATGTTCCAAGTTGGAACAAAAATTAGTAAAAAACAGTCGATACTATTCATTATAATCAATCTACTAGTATGATGGAAAGGGAAAAATTTTCTATCGTTTGTTTATTACTCATTATCAAAAATGAAATAGAATTCCAAAGTCAAATCCAATAAGGGAAATTCGAAGATAAATTCCTTCTCTGAATCCGAGCCTTGTGTCCTCTACAAAAATTTTAATAGAAAAATTCAAATTTTTGTAGAGGACACTTGGAAACAAAATCTCGGTTAACATTCCAGAAATGCCCTTAGATGGCAAATCATAGCAGAATTTTTCCATAGTCAATAACTTTTCGCCCCAATGTTATGCACTATATTGGCAGTGCAACTTCTGTAATAATTCTGGCAACTAATTTACAGTTTGACAGAGAATGACGGTCCCTGTTTGTAGATTGCTCCCAGAATTACTGGCTTTGCTACTGAGTTAGGCACATGTTCGGAGTATCAAGTAAATTCTGAATTTAATAGGTGGAGGTTAAATTACAAAGTGATGACTTATTTTTCAAATTAAAAATGTTAATATCTGTAATAAAAAAAGAAGTAATTATGATATGATAATATTAAGATATGAATCAAAATGAAACTAATAACTTTACAGCTTAACACTGAAGCATTTTGGGGGTATTGCATAAGGATACATGTACATGTTTCCTACCGGGATCCCCTTTTCTCTTTAGGATACAAGCTCTTTTGAACATTAATTGAATGCATCATGAACCCGATCGTAATCCCTATAAAAAAATTAAAATGCCATAATTCTGTCAAAAATCAATGTCGCCAAACCAAATGAAAACTTGATCTGTCACTCATCGAGATACACACACATACCAAAAATCAGCTCAATATCTGCAAGCGTTTAGAAAAAAAGTGCAGAAAACCAAGTGGGACAGACTGACAGACAGCTAGACAGACGGACGGACATATAGACAGACAGACTCAGAGAAAACGTATAGTCCACTCAAGTTTCATGGGTAGGGGACTAATAAGTGGACCAAACTATTTTGGGTTAAAAGCGTACAAATAAAAAATCATTTTCATCCATTTTGTTTCAGTTTGAAATGCCTAATTACAAATGTGTTTACTTCTCGACTACCCAGGGAGTTAATCTTATAATGCTTAAATCGGCTAACCATATACACACTTCTAAATTGCAATATGCTTTATGGTGGTAACAGGCATTTTGTATGAAAGACTCGGTTTAGTATTTAGTATTGACTTCCACTTTTGCCTCTGTTCTATAAATTACAGACTTAATTTGGCCTTTTAATTATAGGAGATTATGAAAAGAACAGTGGGTATATTTTCCCCCGGGAAACAATTAAGGTCCGGATCTTTTTAATTCTTTAGGACACGAACTAAATGAGATTATCAGTCGATTTAGTGATTTAATTTGACAGAGTAAATGTGTTTGCTGTACAATGCATTTTAAAGAAATATGAGCAACAATTTTGATGGGAGAAATATTTAATATAATATAATACTATACATTCCACTGTAAAGAATTTTTTCATCTGAAATAATGAAGTGCATTTTGACTAATTGATAATAAAGGTTTGATTTACATTTAGATTTATCATAACAATACATTTAACAGCAAAATAAAATTCTCAGAATTCAGCTCATATTCTTCAATACACCGTACACACACAATCACTTTATTATAGACAGACAGAAATATTTTTTTTAAAAGTGAAATTTAAAGGAAACTGTGTTTTGAGCAAGTTATACTTTATCCTTTTTTAGATATCACTCAATAGTTTGGGAAACAAATAAGATCGAATTATTGATCGGACGTATCAGCCTTTATTATTGATTCTTTTGAATTTTTATGAAAAGTTCTGTATGAATCATGTACATGTTTGTTTTACCGTTTCTCTAAAAATTGAAGGGACATATTTCTGTTCACCAGAAACAAGGAAAAAAGTTGTCATTTTCGATTGCTGACCTGTCTTTCTTCAAGTGAGGTTGATGTTCGCATAGAAATGTAGATTAAAACATGTAAGCTGCACTTTCCAAAGGTGCTGTTTTAAACACGCACTTGTCGTCTGCAGTCAATATTTCAGATCAAGTCATTGTCGGTGATTTATAGACAATACTACCTCTTGATCCAAAATCAATATGTGTTAATGGTCATATATTGTTATCGTCCAATTTACTTGAAACACTTTAAACTGTGTACTTACCATTTATTAATGTCTGAAACATGGTCAACTATATTGATAGATTATAGGAACAAATTAAAATAATTTTTTTCCTTTGATTTTAGGAAGTCTACAAATGTAATAATTGATCATTTCTTGGAGAGACGCATTATTTAAAGTAGTGCTTAGGTTCATTACCGGAAGTGAATTTTTTCCCAGAAGCTAACTACAGTTATTAACATTTGCCAAACTGGATGCTAAAGATAGTAAGGCGGCTTCTCAGCTTCTGTATCGGCAGATGACGATGACGACCGAAAAGGAAAAGGCAAAAAAGACGTTCGACTTTCGTATGTCGAAAAAAGTCGCTGAACTGACTCAAGTGGTTCATATGTTGTTTACCCGAAACCACGAGAAAGAAGTGGAAATCGAAGCATTGAAAGAGGCGTATGAATATGAAATATCATTAGTGCAAGAAGACGCCACGGAACAACTTGGAAAAAGTGAAGAAAAGCGGAAAGAACTCGAAAAACTCTTAGAAAAAGAAAGGAAAGCAGGACGTGAGAGAGTGAAAAGTGCAGTCCAACAAGAAGCATCGACAAAAGAAGAACAATGGAAAGAAAAAGTGAAAGCATTGGAGCAGCAATTAGCAGACGAGAAAAATGAAAGTCAGAATCTGAGGGATTTATTGATAAACGCTCAAAAAGACATTGAAAAGTTGAGACAAGGAGTGGCGGAGCAACTACAGAGTAAGAATGAAGAAATTCACAGGAAGAATCAAGAACTAGAGCGGCTTCGACAGAAAGTGGCTAATCTAGAACATACACAGAGCGAGAACGAAAAGCATTATAAAGAGATTATCCGAGACTTGGAGAAGAGTAACGAAAAGTTGGAGCGAGAGTTGGCGCAACTTCAAGCACTACTTGAGGAAACTCATCGATCTAAGATGCATTTTGAATCCAAAAGTCAAAAACTAGAAACAGATTTGAAAAACTTGAAAAGAGACTTTAGCAAAAAAGTTTCAGAAGTAGTCGCTAGTCAAAGAGCCCAAGCTGCGAGTCATCAGTTACCATCACAGAGGCAGTACACGGTAAGATCATTAAATTCAACTCTTCGTTATGAACGCATTGCGGGTTTCTGCACACCTAAAAGTAGAGGGGAAAGGTTTTATGATTCCCTGTAACAGTTCACACATTTTCTATTAAATAATCAAGTTTTCTGTCAAGCTTAATCTGTTCCCTCTAATGAACAGAATTCTGTTTCATTAAGAAAAGGAAAAAAACAGAAGTCTGTCTTTTAAAGGGGAAGGGGGCATGTTGGTTTTGACTTGGTTGCTGTCTATTCATCCTTCCAACTAGCTGTCTAACCATTACAAAAATGGTTACCTGTGACTGGAATGAACTCGACCCTTAGCCATAATCTCGGGTCAAGGTTATTACTGTATTTTAATAGTCTAGGAAGGTGTTTGGTAATTAAGCAATGTGATGATGCCTTATGTATAGATAGAGGATGTTTTATTGAAGTGCATTTAAACTTGAACTTGTCGTTGCTGCTTATTACTGGTAAGCCATGAATAAAATCTTGAAGAAGGACAGTGGGCTATTAATTTGACATACAATCTCGGTAATCCTTAATTATAATGAATATAAACTTAAATATGTTGTTTTTTGACCTAAACGTCATAAATTAATAAATCTAAGGCCTGGGTCTCCGGACACAGAAGGGGGGGGGGGGGACACAAACTCAGACTATCAGGTAGCACGGGTAGGGGCAGTCACTTGTGTTTCCAGACTATTGAAATCGTCATTGAAATGTTTTCCATCCTCTGTATGCTATTAAACATTGTATTAAGTATGGTTTGAGACTTATCTCAGGACATTCGTCAGGGTCATACTTAAGTCCTAAAGAAAGGGGAAAACCATTCTATTTTATTTTTAAAAAAGAGCATATATAATAAAAAGAAAAACAGATTTAATGTTGCTTGTCCATACAAATCAACACTGCAATAGGAGAGTCAAAAACACAATCAAAGAGAAAAAAAATTGTCTTTTATCAGCTGTTCATTTTAGACAGAAAAATGGTCTATTTCAGCCAACTGGAACCATGACGATTAAGGTATGACGTCATACTTGCATGGTGCTAGATTTATGCATTTTTTAAAAAAAATTGTTATGAATTATATATATCAAACAAACTGACGAGTATTTTTTCAGGCGATTAGACAAAACTATAGCCTACTACAACCTGTTAATATAACCTGCTGTTTTAATAAAATCTGCAAGTCCTCCTCTACAGTTTGATATCGACTCTCTCCTGTTCTTTATTTTATACCTCTCAAAAATTTATAACACGATAAAATCTTATTTCTTGACGGCCATTTTTAATAGAAGAGTCTCATTTATTATAGTTCTTTATAGGGCGCTTACTGATCAAATGTTGATTTAGAAATTTTAATTCCTTTCTTTCTTTCCATATTTTCTTTCTTTTCTTTCATAATTTTCTTTTTATTTCATATTTTTTTTTTACTTTCTATTTTTTCTCTTTTGTCTCTGGGTATGATTTCCGATGTACCGGGTACTCAAGTATTTCTTTCCTTGGGCTGGGTGATACTAGTACTTGTAATCTTATTTTAAAAGACTGGGAGATAAATTTGGAAATGTCCGCGGCTTCATTTGACGGTTCTCAATTTTTTCAGGGTTTCACGTCGCGCATGGTGAAGGTAAAAGGCACAGTTTTCATGTTTCGTGCTTCAGATTGCAGACATGTACCATACAAAATAATTGTTTAATTAATTTTTCAAAGTACACACTATATTATAGATAGAGAAATTATTTTGTTTCCAAATTCAATCTCAGACTGTTGCCTTCAATTTTCAACTAAATGGTGGCGCTGATACACGAAACAGAAAACTATCACGTACAGTTCTTTTTATGTTGTTGATGGTTTAGGCAACACGGCTGCACTCTTGCATTTGGATGTACGTAAACACATCCAACTTAAAAAAAATATTCGAGAAGTCAAAAACAAATATATATGTACATCAGCTTTCGTCTATAACCCACATAAATGGTAATACACAATTTTTATATATTCATCTTTTTTGTAAACAAATCTGCACTGCATGATGTACTAAAATAGTCCAGCATGTTGCTTCCACTTTTATGTTTTCATTCATCAAGTATTTCATTGTGAAGCTTGAACAGTTTGATAAGCTTCTGTTCAAGTTAAATTTACAAGAACTAACCAAAAGGTAACAAAAGGTAACATAACGTAATCCGACAGAATGCCTTGTTCAAAACTTCGATGGAATAGCCACATTCAAAGCAAATTGCTATATACAATTTGGAGAATAATATTCGTAACTGGAAGTTCTCTTCTCATTACATTACGTCATTCTGAAAGTTCAAAGCCTTGTTACTTTGTAAATTAAAGAAAAATATATTTTAAAAAAATTGGATATATTTCAGGATTACAACGAAGAGGTGGAGAAATTAAGAAGAGAGGTACAGAGGTACCGTATGGAACTCAGTAACAGGGACAATAACTTCAACAGGATGTTTACAGACGGTCAGCAACTAATGGTGGACCCCAGGGCAGGGAAAATCGCCATCACACAACAACAGGTGCTTGCTGCGGGTCCCACCCAATCTAAGTCGGAACCCCACATTGGCAATCGGGAGAAATCATTCTCCTATGCCTTCGTACAGTCTCTGGACGAATCCGTAAGCACTGACGGTTCCCGAGTGGCGGTAACGTTTGTCGTGCTGCATGCATTGCTTACTCACTAAAATTTCTGCAGCATTATAATCTATAAAATGGCGATGGTCTTGCTTTTCTTCTATAACATTATGTATTAACACTTATAAATTCGTGCCACAGGCACTTGTTTCGGTAATAAATGTTTAACCTATAGTATAATAATAACACAGTGTTATTATTATACTATGGGTTAAAATTTATTACCGAAATAAGCGCCTGCGATTCGTGCACTCTTTAGGCGATGTCTTACTGGCGTATAAAGTTCAATTCGCAGTATATTGCAAGATACTATAGTTACATATGTAGCTTCCTGCGCTAGAAGTACGACTTTCAAGCGCGTGACTTCATATTTTACTCATTTAAAAAAAAATATATAAAAGGACACACACCTGGCGAGAGGGCTAGAGCTCATAGCTATAGCTCCTGATCCCGATATTCTTTAAACAAATGATGTTCCCCTTTTCGGACATCGTTTCACGTCATAATTCAGCTGCAGATCTGTAGCGTTATGGTTTCTATAAATTTGTCTTTGACCATAACGCTATGTACAGATCCCGCAATGCCAAAAACAGGTGTGCTACGGCGCAATTATTTGCGCACTTTTGGGAAGAATTTCTCCACTTTCTAGCATTGTTCAATCAACTACCTTTCACTCCCTAATTCTAGACACATTTTGTAGCCAATATGTATATTTTAACTACCTCTCAACCATTTATAGTTGTCTCTACAGGCAATAAACTCACTTGAAGTGAATTTTCCGCAAGCTAACAAATAATTTTAATCAAGCGAGTTTATCACTTGTAGAGACGACTATAAAGGGTTGGGAGATGGATGAAATTTACAGATTAGTAAAATAATGTGCCTAGAATTAGGGAGTGAAAGGTAGTTAATTACCCGATGCTGGAAGGTGGAGAAATTCTCCCCAAAAGTGCTCCCCCAAAAATATTGCGCCGTAAATTGCTTCTTTTTTGCATTACGGGATCTGTAGCGACAAATATATAAAACCATAACGCTACAGATCTGCAGCTAGTCATAATTCTACAAAAAATAAAGCAGGTGTTGAGGGTGTATTTTCTTCGTTGTTGTGAAACACGATTACGAAGCTCTGCTAAATGCTAGATTTTGTAGACTGGAAGCAACTGAACTACCAGTGCTAGAGATATCAAGAGGGATAACTCTAAATATTGCTTTAACTTAAAATTACCCTTAAAACTAATTTAACATATATGTATTATATGCAATATATATTAACGAATATAACTCTATATCTATACGCTATATGTCTTTATATTACCTAATAATAACATAAACATCAATATTTTTAAAATGTTAATTTCATATACAGCTTTTACTGTCGTATATTTTTGTTTCATGTTTAATAAACCAATGTAAACTCAACTCATGTTTAAACCTGAATATACAAATTGAACCTGAAAGAGAACTAAAAACACTCTCTTTATCATTCACAGAAGCGGCCTCCAAGTTCTCGGGTTTCCTCGGCCTCTGGAAGACTTCCAGCTCTGACTCAGGAACAGAAAACTCGCCTTACAAAATTAATGAAACCACGCCCACTTCCGAAAGAAATGTTGTATGGGAAGTGACCTAATCAATTACATTTACATCGAAACGTCTTCCGGTAGAACTTTTAACTAAGATAATTTTGCATTTAAATTCCAAAACCATCCATAGAGACAGACTTGGTTTTCACAAAAGTGAGAGGAAGACTATTAAGTACAAACAAAACGTAAATCAGTGTTAAAGAATGCGCTCAGTTTAAGTCTTTATGAATGTTACATGTATGCTAAAATGGACGATACGGATTTTACTGGTTGTCCAAATATTGAGTATATAAATTCAGATTGTATTTGTTCACCTTGCAATAATTTCATACATGTATGTGATTTTCAATGATTGTACTTTCCAAAAACATTTCCCAAGTCAGTCAATAAAATTACTGATTTAAGTTATTTCTTCAGAATACAAGGCCATGGAATACAAGTCTTGTCAGAAATTTTAACAGACACACCTTTTGTACATAAACTTTTTGATAGCTACGTAAAGAGCTACTTACTATACGAAGGGTGATCAAAAAGTTCGCAAACTAATTGAATAACTTCTATAAAAAAACAATATTAAAATTTTGTTTTCAGTGTTTATTATATTTTAAATTAGTCCTTTCCGATTTTAATGCACATCTGCCACTGTTCTGCTCACGAGCTACAGTTATCTCGCTTTTAACTGATCGTGAGTTCAGACATCAATATCTTCGCTTTCCTAATGGGGACCACATTCGTTGTTTAAACTCTACAGGCACAGAGATATTTGTTGAACGTATCCAGGGCACACCTTTCTAATCTTACCAAAAGGTGACTAATTCAATTTCAGATACCCCAACACTTCAAACTCTATTTTTCAAATTTATCAATGAGTTACCTTATCTACAGTTCACTTCAAAATATTTTTTTTCATTTCTAATAAATCTTAAAAGAAGAAAACAACTCGACGACATAGTGTCGATTAACAATGGTTATTTCCATTCTTGTGTCGATACAATATATAAAAGGTACCACAGAGTCTGACACATCTGTTTCATTTTTAGATATTTTACTTGAAAAGACGTTAATGTTAATCTTACAACCAAGCTTTATGATAAACGCGGACTTTAAGTTTTCAAACGTCAACTTTCCTTATTTAGCAGCAATATACCTTCGTCACCTGCATACAAAGTATATATATATCTCAGTTGATTCGATACCTAAGAACATGCTCTACTTATGAACAATTTCTAAAACGAGGTAAATTATTGACAAACAAGTTGCTGAAACTAAAATATCAGCAGTCTCGTTTAAAGTCATCATTTCTGAAGTTCTACAAGGACATTGTCAGCAAATGAAATTTATCATTACGTAATGACATCAAATGCTGACTGATGTTTTTCATACTAATTGTTAGGCCATTACATACACACTGAATTGTCGACGAGTTCTGTCCTGTATTTCCCGATCATGATGGCAGGTGTGACCGATCGGCAGGGTATCCTCACTCCTACATGGCACCTGTTCCCATCTCTGAAATTTTTTGAGGTCCATACGTGTTTGCTCTTCTACAGTTCTGTATTTTATAATGGACTTTTGAGCTTGAATACTGTTCGTTATCTTCATATATGTCATTCCAGACGTCCTTGGTCGAGTCTGTTTTCTGTAAACCACTCATTTATTCCCAGAAAACTTTCTCAACAAATGCTTTTTAACACTGGTTACATTCGATATGTCGTCAACTCATGTCAGTAGATGTGACTGATATTTCCTTTGACTTCTTAGTAGAATCGATGTTGTCTCATTTAAATTGACTCTTAAATACTGGCCCTCAAGTTGAGGCTCAAATTCAGTTCAGCATACATTCGTAATCAGTCCAGGACCCAGTACATGTACCATCAAATGCTTCAGGCTTCATAACAGTTTAAAAAATGCACTGGTAGGATAATTACCACTGCATTGACTGTTAACTCTGCATCTAATGGCGTACTCAATGCAACGGCCATACACTCTCTGTTCTTCAAAAAACTACCGGTGTTGATATTCAGTTAATACCTGAGTACACCTGTCTACATCGGAGTTGAGATTATAGCCAGTGACGACCTTGAATACACTGACTTTGGCGTTTATAATCATTGCTTCTTCCTAAGAAATCATTGTTTAAAGAAAAATGGAAAGCATGCCATATATATAGCCTTGTGTTTTTTATCCCTTGTATCAACCCTTGATTAAATCCTTGTATTAAACTCCATTGGATATATATACCTTGGTTAACTTGAAATAAAAGAAACCACTGATTTATCTATTTCATATTTGGATATTTCATTTAAAAAAGACAATGATGGTTACCTAATAACAAAACTAGGACAAACGTGATGAGTTCAACTTTTCTATCGTCATCTTTCCTAACTTATTTATGTAGCTTTATACCCTTGTCACCTGCATATGGGATTTAGATCTCCCAGTTGATTCCGTAGACAAAACATTCTCTTGGAATTATTTTAAAGTTTCAAAACGAGGCAAGCTCTTTACCAATACCGTGTAAGTGGAAATTTTAGCGAGACGAAAATTTAGCGATTTCTACCTAAGAACTGGTATTTTACTTTTAGCGAGAAGTAATTTTTAAAAAATGCTAACTAAAGAGGCTATTATAAATGATACGCAATTAATTTTAGCGATATTCAATTTTAGCGATGTCTGCACCCTCGCAATAATGCCAAAATTAAATCCTCGCTTAAAATTATACTTCTACGGTATATTGATGACAGCAAAGATATCAATAGTCTCATTTTTGGTAACCACTTTGCGAATTCCGTGGTCCTTATCAGCACGCAATAAAGGTTGGTTGGAATGCTGGCTGACATGTTTCCTACTCTTTGTCAGGCCATTATTCACACACTGAAGTTTTTACGGATTTTTCCTTTATTTCCTGATCATGACAAGGAGCACGGGTGTGAAAGGTCGGCAGGGGATGCTCACTTCTCGATGGCACCTGATCCCAACTCTTTTGGAGGTCCTTGTCTGCTCTGCTCCTATTTTGTATCGTTTAATGGACTTTTGAGTTTGAATGGTTCTTATCTCCATATATACCATATATTTCATTTACTCTATGCCCATAATATATAATGTATGCGCCTATACTGAAGTATCAATACATGATCAAGCTAATTCAGAGAATCTGCCCCATCCCTCTAAGGAAAAATTAGTATCCACTTAGGACATTAGGTCATTTTTCCTTTTTTGTATTTCCACCCAAACAAACTATTTGACCTTTAATACTGATATTACACATTATGATACAGTATTTCTATAGCAATAATTGCTAATTTTATGACAAGATGTAAAATGAAAATGAAATGTTTCTAGGTATTTTCACTAATATACATCTTGATTTGGACTCGGTGTGTGACACACATAACAATTGATTTTATTTTAATTATTTGAGGAACAATACATACAATGAAGTGTATTTTAACTTTTACAGATACATTTCAAATGACTTTCCGATTCAATATTTTTGTCATTCTAAAAAAAAAAAAACAATTTCAAAAAAGAAATTCCTGAAATATTTGATTCAAAGAAGCTAATTTATTCATGCAGAAAACTTTTCTAAGCTCATTCAATAAGCAGCCGCCTTGGAAGTTACTTCTACGTTTTTAAAAAATAATTCAATCAACATTTTTTGATATTTTCTCAACGAAATTGTCATTAATTCTAACGAATCATCTAAATTTATAACTCTAAAATGTTTGTTTCTAATTCAAAATCCATCCTCACCTTGCCATTAAAGAAATGGAATTAATATTTATCAATGCGAACCACATCTCGAATTTTATCTTTCTACGTGCTCATTGATCACGTCACACTTTACACATTCCCTGGGCAAATAAATGAATCATTGTCTTTACAAAAATTTACACCCTACTGAATTTTGTAAAGGTAAATGACCTCATTATACTATGAACATTATTTCCGCTAGATTACGATATAATTAGACGTCTTTTTAGTAACCTAACGGTAGGATTAGTTAATCAAAATGCCCACATTTTTTTCCCCAAATGAGTATTACATTCCATGAAAACGGAAACAATCGAGTACTGAATAAAGACCTTTTTAATTATGTATTAAATAAATAGAAAAAAGTTGAAATTGACAGTTTCTTTTCGAAATACTTCTATCTTCTTTGATAAGATAATCAATTCATTAGAGATTCAACACATACGGCTTTCTTAATTTAATCTTATGGTAATTCAGGGCTACTGTTGAAGTGTAGTTGTTAGAAAGAATATCAACAGTATCGTTAAAAGTAATCATTCCGTAAGTACTATGGTTGATAAAATGACCTTGTCAGCAAATACAATTTATCATTCGTAGAATGCTGACTGACGTTTTTCATACTGATTTTTAGTCCATTGTTTATACACTGAATTGTCAACGATTTTTATCTTTTATTTCCCAATCAGAACAAGGAACACATGCCGGGTTCTCACTCCTCCATGGCACCTGATCCCACCTCTGATGTTTCGGAGGTCCGTATTTGCTCTGCTCCTATTTTGTATCGTTTTACGGGGTACCTGTAAAGTGCGAAACGAAATAGAAACGAAACGAACTGAAACGAAACGAAATCTGCCGAATCGAAACGAAATCTACCGAAACGAAACGAAACCTACCGAAACGAAACGAAATCAAAACGAAACCTGCCGAAACGAAACGAAACGAAACTTTCAGAATGTTTATATGGTCTATTTTTACTTCATATAAAATTTATATAGTTAAAGCACCACAGGCAATCGTTTCGCTTTAAACTCATACATAGGGGTCGGAAGGAAATTGAAGGCGGGCTTAACCAACACAAAAGGTAACCCCCAATTTTCATTGCCTATATAATATACCGGTATATCTTTGCAAAAGAAGGGGGGTTCTAACCCCTCCCCCACCCCCCGCATCCGACGCCTGTGTCATGTTTTGTTAATATCTTACTGAATAATTTACCTACTTAAAAATGACATCGTTCGCTTCGAGAGACTTTTTTCTTGTCAGTTAAATCGTTTTAGATGTCTCTGGTCGAGCCTCTTCATTTCTTCCTCGAAAATTACCTCGATAAAAATAGGACCGCATGTACGCAGAAAGGATACACAAGATTCCGGTTGGAGTTTCATGTATGATTGAACAATAAAACCAGACACCTCGGAATGGAATACTAAATACTCTAAGTCTTTGGTTTATCCTATATTTTACGACGTTCGCAATACAACAGTACACGGCACTAACACATCAATTTTGATAGATATGTTGTATCTAGATAAATAAGGACTGAAAATAAGAGTAAGATATAAAAATTAGAAAATACTGCACATATTGAAATTATACATGCAAAGTATTTGCAGCTGGCAAACATGTAAATACATCATTAGACTGCGAAGGGAGCATAATTTATCGGTAATGATTTTTTTTATCAACAATTGCTTAAACTATATAAATTTT